GTGAGCTTGAAATAGATGTTTACGTAAACCACTTGTTGCACCACTTTGCCGACTTTGTAACTTGTTGCATATTTTGCATTGTGGTTTTCCATTTTCTTGCTTCGTCATATGTTCCCATAAATTTGACACACTTTTACCATTAGAACGTATTTCATCTGTATCATTAACGTCCATTTTATTTGTACTATTTCGATGATTCGTATCAATATTTTGAAAAATTTCGACCGTAAATTCTTGAGTATTTCTTTTTAAACGGCGAACAAAGTAATTTCTTGATTTTCGAATGTGAGCGTTGTAAATAGAAAATAAGAAATATTTTTGGCTAGAACAATCATTAAAAGACGTTAAAACAGACGATAAAGCTTGCAAACTGTGAAATTCTTAGAAAATTTTAAAGTACTTTTTTCTAAAAAAAGATTTCATGATACACAAGTGACATCGCCATATAAAATTGTTTATCAATGAAAAAGAAATGTAAATCAAGTTAACCACCTCAAAGTAGATTAAGGAAAATGATAGTTCATATATGTCGAAGTTCTGAAATAGATTTAAGATGTTGAGAATTAACTGAATAAGATTTTGCTTTCTACCTGTCGTATAAGTGTTTTATTGATGACTTTTGAGTATTATTATTTATGACCAATATTGAACTGTGAGATTTTTCTGAACATTATCAACAACAATGTGTATCTCACATATGCTAGTATATATTTTAAGGTCTACATCTACATTTCTCAGTACGCATTTAGTTGAAATTGTTTGCAGTTTATGAGTTTACGCATGTTGCAATCAAGTTGAAAAGAAAACTGCTAGTTCAGACCAACCAATTATTTGCTGTTTTTTGTCCTTTCTTAGATGATACTAGTTTTCTTTTCTATGGGCTTCAACAGCTTTAATAATGCAGAAATATTTTCTAAAAATCTTAAACGAACATATTTTTACTTGTCTTCGAAACTTGAACTATGAATCTTCAGTTTTTCTATCGACAGTCACAATCGGATTTGAGCTAGAAAACCTTTGAATAAAGTTAAGTAAAAATTATATATATGAAAATATCGAACTTGTTCATTCTTGTGACGATAATATCTTTATGACAAGATCAAGTAGATTAAATTATATATGTTGTTCAATATCTGTTGTTACGTATTACTAGGTGGAAAGTTCTCAAAAAGTTCTTCCTTCTTTCGTAATGACAACATACATTACATATGAACACTGAATAGAGAATTTTCTCATCCAAAACTTCAAGAGCTGCATAAGTTTAACATGAATTATCTTCGTGAAATTGTAGTAACAAACTTTTTCTTGAAAGAACTGTTTTTTTTAATTAGTATATTGAACGAACTAATCTTTCACCTGTTGTATTCTACAATTGAACCAGTTGATAATAACCAATTGTGAAGAGTTCTACCGCATTTAAAAATGGTCTGTATATTTTGAATATTTCAAAGATAGGGAAATCAGGCTAGATACTTAGCAATATTTGTTATATATATGCTGCGTTTGGAATCAATGATACATATGAATAGACATTGCGATTGGAATAGAAGTAGAGTGATTTATGTTTGTTAGCTTTATATATTCCTAACAAAAGCACATTCCGAGCGGTGGGGATGATTCCGAGAATCTGTCTAGAATAGTATTTAGGGTATTTCTTTAAAAATATATATGAAGAAAACTGATTCATATCAAGAATCATACCCTTATCATTTTTCAGAAAAATTTATTTCATATTTTGCAATTGTGTGTTCTAAGAACTAGATTGAAAAAATTATTATTTTTTTAACGCTATGCCAAAATGTTATTTAAACGCAACAACATTGTTAAAGTGTATGGAAGCATCATGATAATTCCTTATTGTCAAATTGTTTTTATTTTCTAAATATTTCAAAACCATAACTAATGCCATCAAAACCAAAATTTCAAAACTAGTTTTGGTTTTGGTGCATGGCTATTTTTGACGACTTTTTTTTCAGGATTCTTTTGGGTTTCCGTACATATCTCGAAAACCCGTCGAGGTTTCCAAATTACTAGATACCTATGATTTTCAGAGAAAATGTCTTGGAAATCCATTAAACATAGTGAAAAACCAAAGTAGTATTAAAATTTCATCATCTTCATTTTCACGTAGCCACTGCATAATTTACATTTTTAGGAGTTACTTATCAGCTATAACATAAATCGTCTTCAGTGTACGCAAAATTGTTTTCTAAAGCTTCTAGAATTGTTGAGAATAAAAAAATTCTTCTTTTCCAACAGCATTTTGTCTTATTTTTACTTTCCTAGTTGTATACAGTTGTAATAAATGTATTAAATGACGAATTTTGTTTTGAAACTTGGTGCACTGCGCTAAGTCGTTATTCCATTCAAGAAATTTCGTTTTTCTCCTTTATATTGAATTAAATTTTGTTCATTATACAAACATTACTATCTTTGAAAAAATTGCAGTGAATCAGGGGAAGTTCTTATGAGCTATTGCACGTAAGCCACGCCCGCATGCATTGGGTACTGCTCAATCGAATATCTCAGATATCGTTCATATTGATATATATATATATATATATATGATGGACAAAAGTGATTGATAATGTTTGGCGTAAACTGCAATAAAAAATATTGAACCAAATATTTTAATGCATTTTTACGAAAAGCGCTACAATTCAAAATTTAAACGAATCCGTTCAGTATTATCACTATATCTCGAGAACAAATGAATCGATTGCGCTGACATTTCGTGTCACTATTTACAATGGGTAATGCTCTTGCCATAAAAAATTTCAAATGAAGCGGTTGTATCTTCATTTTTCTATGTGCACTTTTGTATAAGCAAAAAATGCTCATTTTATCAATTTTCATGGTCTAATATCTCGTGACCTAAACATAGTTTAGTGCTAAAATTTTATCTATAGAAAGTCATTACTCATGCCTCATTCTCGTGAAACTTTCAGCGTCCCAACACATAACCTTCGCTCAGATGAACCTTGCCTAAATTAGCATTTGTGCTAAATTAGCATTTTTAGGCTGTGGCGATCTAAAAAAACTACATGTTTTTTGACGATTTTTATTCGTGGCTCTGATAGACCTGACTTCGTTCTATTAGATTCTGCAAAGCGTAGCGTGGGCTTTCTATGGGAGCCATGGTCATACGAGACGCACCGAGAATCCTGAGCAATTTAACTGCATTTTTCAAGCTGAGCTTCTCTGGAAAAAAGGTGCCATATGGAACTATTTATGGTTCTAGCCAAGATACTGAATCTTTTAAGGTTTCATTGTTTTATTAATAAATCATCGAGGGTTTTAGCTAGTTTAAAGAACCATCTCAGATCCTCGGTAGTCCTGGATGTTTGAAAAGGTCCCACCCTGCGCCGTTTTTCTTAATGCTGAACCATTTTTCCAAAGATGGTTCTGGCTTGAGCCAAGATACTATATTTTCGGAAAGTGATTCAAGTAATATTAATCTCAAGCAGATTATTGAGATAGAGGAATCCGAATCCGTCATCATTTTTTCGATGCTAGAGATGCGATAATTGAATGGTAGACCTGGGTAGTTGTGTCTCGAAAATATATTCAATAATTAGTGGTATCCTTTCAAGTATGATTGCTCTTTTATCTTTATCGATATGTCACATGTATGAATAGACAGGTAATGCCAATCTGAAAAAATGAATTCAAGATTTTCTGTAGCTAGATATGTATGAATAACCAATTCAAATGCAAGTTTCATATGATAAAATGAATTAGTGTTTCTTTTTAAATTTTAAGTATATGTGAATAATTCATTTAATGGTAAGTTGAATCTTACAATATAGGTCACTGTTCGTTTTTTTTATTTAGGATCATCTCAACAACAATTAACGGCGATGCCGCTTTAGTGCGAATAACAGAGAAAGTGCAAGCTCGTATTCTACTCACAACAAATCTAGGTAAATATAACATATAGAAATAAGAATTTAGTGTAACTGAAAAATATTTAAGTCGCGTGAATATTCTTCAAATAACTATCGAGATATATTGAATTGCGTATATATCCTGATAGGATGATGGACAACAAAGTGTAGATCAGTATCAGCTATATATTTTAGCCATTGTGTGTATAATATTAGCAACAATTCCATACGATAATTTTATTCTTGTCCAAAATCAGTTCTGTGTGTTGTCTCTCAATACAATCGAATACAATCGTACGTATTACAAAGCACAACTTTCTTCTAACTCGACTTGTTTAGAGCTGAACTCGACTCAACTGCCCTATTGTAACGAAAAAGAGAAGAAGTTTAACTCTACCGTTATACGCGGCATTGATGTTAGTTGAGCTACTTCATTTTAAATCGTTATAACAAATGGAGGGGCATAGTTTAGTGTTTTACTACACGATGTTTATTCAACTATACTCTACATCCAAATGTATCCATCTAATACAAAACACACGCTTCTATACGCCACCAAGAAAGAAGAGAACGGAGAGAGAAGAAAATACATAGAGACAAAAGTTATTGAGAGAGAAGGGGATATGGAGAAAGAAAAAGATATCTAGAGTGAAAAGATATACAGAAAGATTGCGTACTGTTCAGTGCGCGATAATGTATTGTCATATGCAATGATGAATGTTAGTGATGTAAACTTAATTACGCCACCGCAGTATGTTCATCAGCTCTACGACTTACAAGTGGACGCCTGGTGGTTCATATAATTCCTATTTAATCTAGTCCTTTACGAAGGACATACTTATTGGCACAAACAGCTACCACACCTGACAGAAAATAAACACCGCTAAATAGCATTGTTAACATTTTGCAAGAAATCCTCCACTCTGACTAAAACTTCTATACATAGTTTTGTTCAGAATAATATTTTGTATCGAATAGTATGTAAAGCATGTTCTTTTTTGCTGAAAAAGTACCGACTCAAAATTCAACCACTGTACCTAAAAGATGCTCACAAGAGCAAGACCACAACTGACCTTATGCGCAATGGATCAAACCGAAACTTGTAGAAATGATATAGAACAACGCGCTCTGCAGTTTGGGAAGCTTTCAGACTGAACAGATGCCTTTTTCGAATTCGGCCGAAATGACTCAAAAACGTCCGTCGCTCTTTATGCCGAATAAATTACACAACACTAAGTAAGCATCAAAACCATAACGAAAAAAAGTGATGCGTACTATTGATTTGAAACATTTCTATTCCTGTCATGAAAGCACCAATCTTTCGAAAAATATTTCATTCAAGGAAAATTTCTTAAATTTAACCAATGGTATCGCATCACTCAATGGTATATTATAATAACCATATATGGTAAGATATATTAGAAAGTATGCCATTCGATGGCATATCACTTACGTATGCAAATACACTAACAGATAACGCAAGACATCTATTAATTAAGAAAACGTCTTAGAAAAGAGATAATAATACTTCTACCAAGAACATCAGAAGCAGAATTATTTTAATAGGAAAACAACAACAAAATCCTACAACTGAATAAATCCTAAGAAAATAAAAATAATGCTTCTCTCTATTCATAACATTTTCGCTTATTTTAAGATAATTTTTATTGTTTCCTATTATGTGTTATTATTGTCTTACTTGTAGTATTTTTCTTTTGATGGCTATTTATGTTTTCGCCTGCTCAATACTACCGCCATATACACTATTTTCTTAAATATATCTGAGATCTCTAATACTATTTTCTCCATATTATAATTTTCCTGCTAATTCATGTGATTACTTTATTCATTAAAAATATAAAACAATAATATGTATAGTTTTACAATTTATTGTAAAATAAAAACTTCAAGTTGACTTAGTAAATTAAAGAAAAAAAACATGTACATCTTTCGATCGTCAAGCTGATATTCATTATGGGAATTTATTTTTGCATTCTTTCTTATCTATATATAGTGGATAAAATTTTATTAAAACTTAATTCCAACCTGCTAATATTTACATTAACCCATTTTAATGAAATAAGTGTATTGAATTATGTCATAAAAAAACTTCCGCTAGCCATGGTATAATGTGAATGAGAAAACTTTCATCTTCTCGTCTCGTATAACTGCAAATTAAAATATTATTCAAACTGAATTGTAAATTATTTTCTTTAATATTCATTCTTACAGAGGTTTTAACACACCCTCAAGAGTATGACTGTTTTCTGCAACTAGTCGTTGTGTGCTCTTTACGTTGAATGTTTTGCTGTTGCTATGTGTCGTTCTTCCAAACGCAGTGTGAAGAAATGAAGAATTCAAAAAGAACAACGAAAAAAAAGAACGCAAAAGAGATGCAACACTACTATGTGTGTTGCCATCGTATAAAACAAACAAACGAATATTTCGACACATAACCAATGCGTCGTTTACAGTCAACGCTGGTTGAACTTTTAAAAGACAACCACAGAAATTGGACCGATATCGTTGCATGAAATGGTAAGTTCCTATTTCCAAGAAATTTAAGTGAAAAGAGTATGAGAAAAATTGCTTGAAACTTTAAAATAGATCTTTCAGAAACAATAGTAGAGAATTTAGTTTTAATTTAATAAGAGTATGGAGACGGATGCGCATATCTTTTGTTCTGGAAAAGATTCCGTCAGGAATTTATGTTTTAAACAAAAAATATATGGAAATGTGTAACGAACCTCGTTGATTTTATTATACACATGATGCTCAATCTTCTCTTGTCATCTCTTCCCATTACATCAATGATTCTTATCACTCTATTCTTGCGTCATTTTCCTTTTTTCTGTTCTTCCCCTTGACTTTTGCTCTCTGCTCTTGTCGTTTTTTCTCCTGGTTTCCTACATAAACGCATGTTGTTAATGTAGACGATACTATTATTCATATGAAAAAACTGAAACAAGCTTAATTTTATCTACGGAAGTATCATTGTTATTGAATATTAATACATTATAAGATTCCACTGTAATATTTGGTTTTTAAGTTATTCTGTCATTTTTATAGTTCTTGTTTCTTGAAATGTGTATTTTTCGGAACTTTTCGACCTCTAAAATAGTTGACAGTTGAATAATATGAAATTTTAGTAACGATTATATGTATATGTCGTGCCGAAATTATAACTTCGACAGACGATATTGTCGAAGTTACTGTGAATGATTCGATAAACATAAAACATTAAAAAATCAACGTAATTTTTTCGATATCAATATTAACAACTACTTTTTAATTTAATAGAGCTAGAAAGAAAACACACTGTTGGATAAGGACGTAAATCTGCCACCCCTTGGTTTTAAAATTCTGCACAATTCTGTATATCTCTTTTGCTTTTGGTTGAGTAAAACAAAAAATTATTTTAAGGCAGACTTATCAAGGGATATATATCATTTATGTGAATTAAGAGCGACTAGTATACTCTCGATGCTTTTTTCAGTAGGGTTGCACCAGTACCAGTATTTTTCTAATACTGGTTAATCCGTAAATGATCATGATAAGAGGGAATGAAGAACCTTCACTTTATGTTATCAGCTAGTTTAAAAAACAAGATTATGCTGTTACACGACTTTTTAAAACTGCAATTTTTTATCTAAATATACACAAAAAAAAGCTGTGAGCGCAATTCCTGTGGGATTAAAATGTGAAACATGATAAAGCTCGTTTTCTGGAATCTATCTACCACGGTCTGTGATGGTTTGTGGAGCTTCTCCGTCACGGTCTGTATTTTTATTATGGTGTTTGAAGTCTCTAGAGACCATCGCAGGTCGTTGCACAGACTTCAAAAACCATCACAGACCGGGACAGAGAAATTAATTAATTAATCAATTAATCAGCTAACTAATTAATTAATTTCTCTGTCCTTGTCTGTGGGGGGGGGGGGGGNAAAAAATTACGTTGATTTTTTAACGTTTTATGTTTATCGAATCATTCACAGTAACTTTGACAAAGAGTGTAACTTCTGCACGACATATACAACATACGAGAGAATCATGTTTGCTATAATGAAGTTCGTTTTTTTTCTTGTGGAGTTTTTTCTCGTCAAAATTAGTCAACAACGCGATTGTGGCCATAACTCAATAATGATAGCCAAACTCAAAACAGTTGATCTTGAAGAGTATGCCAAAAACTATCAAAGCCGTTTTCCATCCGATTTTATGAAATATCAATCAATCATATAACGCATAATTTAGTAAATTTTATAAAAACAAAGATTTTGGTTTCATGAGATTCTCTTTAGTGACAGAATACATATTGTTTCTGTTAACTATATTGGAGGCGAAAAATGAAATCGAAGTCTACTAACAACATCTTCAGCATAAAAAATACAAGAGAAACAATCGATAAAGCTGATCATACTAGCGAAAAATGTATCAATGCAGATCCGAATGAAATATCTTGCAAGAAAGATTTTGGCAAATTTAGGTACAACATAATGTGATTATCATAAAAGAATGTGACAATTCTTGTCCAAGATCTGAAAATCAGGTATAAGATCATGAGTTAGTAGTAATTATTGAAGATTATTTTCGAACTGGTCGAAAGTACCCTGTGCTGGTTTGTTCATAAAACAGCACGCTCTTTATCAATGACGTTATGAATAAGATTCACAAGATCAAACTGAAATGATCCTAGCTAGACGATAAGGCTCTAGAATATTGATAATCACGAGAGGCTGTTTTCTTTTGGGACGAATTCCTCTACTCGTTTCAATGAAGCACTGATAAATAGCTGGTGTTTTGCGTATTAGATCAAAAGCATTAAAGCTTTTATTGCTTGGTGTGGCTAATCAAGTTTTTATTTGCTGCAGCTTCTGATATCTGCGGCACCGATTTACCACTATTAATTATAACTGACAAAACCACAAATTATATCGATACGTATAAAAATACAGTATAAATGATATTCATAGATTTAGTATTTCATGATGAGACGGAAACAAACTCCATAAAAATAAATATATGTTTATATTTTCTTGATTAACTCATCATATACTATATAATCCGGCATGCTCATTGAATAGAATTATGAATGATTAATATAATCTACTACTAGCGTTTTCTTTGAACAGTTTAACATTTTTTTGTTTGAGATACGAAAGGTATTGATATGATAACATATTATACATTTAAATTGTTAAGCATTTATTTGTTTTTATTTAGGGACGACACTGATCTCAAACTTATAAATTTATTTTTAGTTAAATTATATTATAAGTAATTACAAGAAAATCTTAATTTTAATCAGTTATTGTCACATTATAATTGTTTCAAATGAAAATGAAAAATAAACTTAAAAATTTTACGGAAAAGATATGGTTTTTATCTATTATGTTTTTATTTCTCATCCTAAGCACGATATTTACAACCATGGAATTCAAAAATAACCCTATTGTACCTTCAACTGATGATTCACCAATGTTACATATGATCAATTCATCATTCAAAGATAAACTAATTAAAGAACGTCTAGCAAGTTATTCGAAGGCATATGATAATGCGCCACGTGAATATAATGCATTGAAGCCATTAGATCAAGATCAAGCAAATGGGTTTTCTGCCATATCAAAATTACTTATAACGCTTCGTCAACAAATGGTACCTTATCCAAATGACTATTTTCAAGGTCGAGGTATTGTTCTCACTGTTGGCAAATCTCAATTACAATTTGCGGAAGTCAATTTAAAAATGATCGAAGTTAGTGGTACTCAGTTGGATGTTCAGGTAAATATGATTCGATCTAGTACTGTCAGATCACAAAGGTCCGATATGGAGAACTATGTGTACCTTCAATAAACAGATATAACTTCCGATCAAGCAAAAGAACGTACACTTTCGACAATCTTTTACTCTTGATATTAAGTTAAGTAGAAAGTGAGGTTAATTTTTTACTTGTATCATACTTCATATTTGCAAATTCAATTGAAAGTAGAATTTCAAGCGAGTATAACAACGATTTGATCATTTAAATCGAAATGTTTTTATTCGCCTCCTGTACTTTCTAACCATCGATGTCAAATGTCAACAATTATCCAGGAGCAAAGAGAGAAGCTAGAAAAACAAAACTATTAAAAATTTGTATCCAACTTGCCTTAGTAAAACTTTACATCATGTTTTCCATTGATATAATATACAATTCCTATCTCTTTGTTTTCAATGATCTTCTAAGATTTTTGATAGTTAAGGACGAAAAAAAAAGAAAATTATTTTCAGTTCGAACTATAGATAAAAGAATAACAACAAAATCGAAAATACGATTTTCTCATAAAACAGAAAAGCTCAAGATAAAAGCAGTTTCCATTTGTTTTTCTTTAGATATGGTATTCATCCACTCAAATCTCAGAGAAAAACATGATCAAATTGTTTGATAAAGCACCTAAAGTCAAATTAAGTATATGTTGCTTTGTCGAAGCTCAATGCAGAACTCGTACAAAAACCTGGCAGCTTGACTCTAATCGTGTCTACAGGCCTCTTATAGGCCGTATGAAGAAACATTTTCCTTATAAACCAGCAGCGATTGTTAGCGCAACTTTTGCTGAAGTCCTATTTCTTGATTCTGATGCCTATGTTGTACGAGATCCGGAAGAACTTTTTATTTCTGATCCAATGTATCTTAAATTTGGTGCCCTTTTCTTTCCTGATGCTTACACAAGTCGACAACATCCAGTTGTATGGAAGTTATTGAATACAACTTGTGGTGAACATGAATATGAATTGGATAGTGCTACAATATTAGTTGACAAAAAGCGTGTATGGGACGGACTTTATATGACAAAATTAATGAATGATCATCATAAATTATTCTATGAAGTAATTATCTGATATTGATTTTCATTACAATAGTCTTTTTTTGTTATAGTATGTAACCGATGGAGATAAAGATACATTTCGATTAGGTTTTCGTTATATGGATGTAAAATACTACATAGTAATGATACCATGTGCTGTAAGTTATGGAGTATTTTTGTTATTTACACTGATCTATCATGCTTTTATTAGACTGGTTCGTTTAGCAATCTTCATTTTTGTGGTTGGACTCTTTGTAAGACAGATAGTCTTGCACAACATATTTATATTAAGTATTAAACTTACATATTTGTTTCTTTGCTTACAATTCTTGTTATTTTCTATTTTCTTTAGTCATGTTCATTTGTTCAAACATGAAGGCCTCCGTTATAATCGAAATAATTTAGGCTATACTCGTATTGGCCTTGGCGATCCCAATAATAATTCGTTTATTTTTTCTCATTGTCGATATCGAACATTTTCTACAACTTGTTTTCGTATTGTAGAAAATCCGAATCCTGAAATTAATCAAGACAAGTGTCATAAAGATCAATTCAAATCAAAAGACATTGAATATCATAAATATACGCTAAATGAGTCTCTTTTATTTGAAGAATCAAGAAATAATCGAATAATAATGAGTAAAACAGACTATTTGATGCCTAGTTTTGTTGATAATCTACTGAAATTTATCTAATAAATACTTATATCAAATGAACGACATAGAATTAGTAAATAGAGTTAATCAATTACATAACAATCAGATAAATAATTTACAAGCCTATCGAGGGCATGTGCCAAGCATACTATGATTCAGGTTTCGACTCTGTTGTATTTGTTTTAAATGATCTCAATTTATTGACAATTGACTGGAATTTTATACGATCCATTTTAGAACATATTACAGTGTGAATCATTTCCAGTTTTCGATAAATAAAAATCTCTAGAGCGTACCTGAGCACCTTCTTGTGCATTGCTTGACCAGGGTTCTTAATTAAATTTTGTATACTGTTTGAACCGTAACCTTTGAAAAAAAGTTCAAAATTGTATAGCTGTTAATGTTAGCCACTAATTCAATATCGCAAGACTATAGAAAGACTTCGAACTATGGTTTAGATTTACAGTGATGGAAAAGAACTACACTTGTGCAGGAGTTAGATTTCTCAATTTTGTATAAAGACCAATACCAGTGTGCTTCTTCCATCAACGATACCGCCCTAACTCTAACAACATCTTCGATTAAAAGTTTTTACGTAAAGTTTCTTTTTACTATTGTTCCAAATTAGCATTTTATACAATTGAGTTGAAATAAAAAGATAAAATATTACGATATAATGAATGAGAATAATGACAATTATTTTTATTTCTAAACAGAATCAAAGATATATAACAAAGTCACACTATTTGTTGATTTCGGCTTGTGATGAATTCTACTAATGCTTTAAAATTACATTGAGTTATTTCTTATACAATTAGATTATTTTAAGTTTCCTGCTCGTGTCATCATCAATGTCTGGACTACGCTATTTGGCTGATGTGAATTTTCAGGTATCCTGCAGAATAGTTTCTTGACTTTTGCGCTCAATTCAGGATATTGACTTACGAGAGAAGTTCCCCAAGTGTGAATCTTAGTTCTCAACGGGGTATATCCCAGTTTGTAGAGCTTGATGTGCTGATTCTTGTGGTATACTTTGCTTTTCCCCACGGAGCTTTAAATGAGAGGAATCAGTCAGCGTTATTACTAAATTTCACTACATTACATTGGACTAAACATATTTTTACAAATTTTATATTATCATTATATTTGAACCGTTAATAAACATCTCACGCATAGTTACTCGAACCTATGATAATTCAGTTATTTTTATTGTTATAAAAATAGAAAAATATCAATTTCGTTATTGATTCAATCTAGTACTTGTATTATTAAGTTGAAATGTAATCCTATATCCAGCACATATCAACTAAAAAGACTTCTTTTCCCTCTACTATTTTAGATCAAATGTATCTATCTTGTATCTACCCGTTGTTTTTTACACTGTAAAAAAAATCGTAACTAAACCCTAGTACTAAAAAAATGTTTCATAAACCCTCAAAGGGTTTATGTTTTCGTCCGAAACTCTAAAACTGTTTATTGCTTGAAGCGTTTATGGGACTAAGGGTGCTTGAAAATAAAAAGGGTTTATTGAACCAGAATTTAAAGAGAAGGGTATATGATTGTACTCTTTCATAAAATAGTTTCTTCTGCTAAAACAGTTGAAATCAGAGAAGTCATACATGTATCTCAAAATGATGTTGACTTTTCTGGTTGATGGCACTATTCATCAAGTATTTTTGTGATTAGATAGGAAATAGTACAATAGAAACAAAGATTAATGAAAAACAGAATAACATTAGCTCTCTCTATGTTGCAATAGTTTGTAATCTCACATTAAAAGATTATCATTCTCCATTAATTAGATCAGCCTGAAAAAACAAAATGAAACTATGTTCTATGTAGGTGAGGCTTCTATATAAAAAAAAGGGAAGTATTTATTCATAAATCTTGAAGAATTTCATCAGTAAGTTAAAAAATTGTATGCAATTATTATTTTTTGTGAATCAGTCGCTTTTGATTTAGCAAAATCAAACGGAAGTATAATTTTTCACTAAACATTTCTTATTTTTATTGTTTTAGTTCAAAATTCGAAGTCTCAAGCACCAGTAAATATAATTTTTCTTTAAATAATTCTTATTTTTCTTTTATAGTGAAAAAGCAGATTCAAAATCATAGGTAATTATTATTTAAAAAAAATAGCGTTTTTAATTTTTCTCAAATAGATTTTCTTCAATGACTCATCAAGCTGAACATGATTCTTGGCTAAAAGTAAGTTTCCCAAAACCCGTTAAAAGGGTATTTGAAAGGGTTTATGATAGGGTTTAATACTTTCCAATACCTTATCGTAAACACTTTGGACGGGTTTAGGAATGTTTCATGTACGGTAAAAAGGGTTTGTGGTACGTTGCACTTTAATATTCCCTTTTAGGGTTTCTTATTCTACGTTTTCTTTTTACAGTGTGGTTCATTCGATCTTGGCAATGAATATCCTTAACATATGCAAATGCATCCATGAAAAGGTATAACAAAAGTCAGACATTCAGCACACAGCTATAATTGAACAGGAAATATCAACTGCAAATAATTTACTTGCTTTATTAGAAGATCTATCTAACAGTGACAGCTTTATAATAGAATCAGAAGATACTCTCGATCTCTTTGATGATGAAAATTCCGATTCGGATTATGATAATGAAACTGAAGATGAAGAAAATCAAAAAGTACTTGAAAATCATCAATTTACTTTAGAATATATGGAAAAAGTTATTAATTTTGCACGTTCAGATATTTCCTTCACAACAGTACAACATGTATATCCGCAAGTGAAACATCCTATGCAATTGAAACGATTTCGAGAATAAGTTGCAAGTAATGAAAATCAGCGACAAAAACTAAGACGAATTGGAACTATTGTATTTGAAAGATTTCGACGTGCTCGTGAAAAACATTTACCTGTACATGAGATCGACATTCAACGTTGGGAATTGCGTGAGGCAAAATTGTACAATTTATGTGACTGTTTTGCAAGTCATCATTGGCTTCTCAATTTTAAGAAAAGTCATGGTATTTCCTCCAGAAAGGTGACAAAATTTGTTTCATGCCGGAAAACGGTTGATAAAACGTCAATTACAATAGTCGCTGATGAATTTGTTGACAAAGTATCCAAATGTATTCCGAAATATAAGTTGAATGATGTATTAAATGCAGATCAATCCAGTTTTCATTATGAGATGACTTCGAATCGAACATTATCTTATGTAGGAGAGAAAGCCACTTATGTGTCAGTTATTTCTGTTAACGCTACGACTCATTCTTACACAGTAATACCAATCATCGATGCTGTTGGTTAACTAATAAATCCCGTTTTTATTTGTCTTCAAGAACGGACTGGTCGATTTCCAGTCAAAAAAAGATCTTTTCACCATCAAATGGAGTAACAGCTTGCAGTGAATCTGGAAAATTAAATAAGTCTCTAGTAGAATATTGGATTCGAGAAGTATTAGATAAGCCAACAAACAATCGGCTTCTTTTTCGGATAGATCAATGGTCTCCACAGATTGATATTAGTGTACAGGCCCGGCAAAATGTTCTCGGGCTTTGAAAAATGGGATCTCAGTTTTCAGTATCCTATCGACATAAAGTTTGCATATATAACAAATATCATTATTGATTAACGTCTAAATTACTAGTCACAGTTGTGGAACTTTTGTTCTTGATATAAAAAAAAGAAAAAAGAACAGAAGTTACTCAGCATTAACTTGTAATTTGAAATTAACCATCGAAACCTTGTATCACAAGACTCAATTGAACTATGATATTCGAAGTTGCTTTTTCCTTTCATGAAGTATTTTCTTCTTGCAAACTGGAAGAAAAACTACCCTGGTGTTACCCTATATTATGTGAGAATCAAGGGGGAAAAGGCGGATTCAGGATACCCATGATTCCCGGACTCCCATGGGATTCCCGGATTCCAATAGGATTCCCTGGATTCCCATCGGATTCCGAATGGATTCCCGTTGGGATTTCTTGATTTCCATTCGATTTTCAAGATTCTTTTAGTATTTATAAACTTCTAATAATATATTAAATATCAATAAATCGATATCAACGAAGGATACTTTACCAAATTAGGTTTTTCATCATCTCAGTTTAATGTAGATGTAAAATACAGTAGATAGAAGAAAATCTACCATCGCCAGAAGTCTAGACACGTTACCAAACAAGATGGATATCAAGTCAACTGGAATAATAGAGTAATTTAATTTATGCTCGTTTTATTTAAGAAAAAAAGAAAAACTAACAATAAACAATAAAGAAATGAAATGAGAAAAAACATATCAGCTTGACAAAGTGTAATGAAATAAGAAACAATTGTAATGAGCTAGTCCAGTGTAGTGTATGAACCTTTTTCGTTTATTTATCGACCGGACTGTTGAACTCTCTTTAAGCGATCAGCTGATAAATTATCTTTACTATCAGTTAAAAGTCAGCAAGCGGTTTGCTTGTGAATATATCTTTTTTCTCCATCGATGTCAACAGAAAAATAAAAGTCAGATAATGCAAGAGAAACTGAATTAATTACTCTCATTCCATCAAATCGATATTTTCCACTTGCTGAAGTAGATGGTAGATCTTCTTCCTCGTCGTCTTCAGATGAGTTCTCATCATCTGACTTCAATATGATCTTTATGTTGGTTTCAAGTTCTTCACTTGGCTCATCATCAGATGAATAGGTTTCATTATCATCATAAGATAGTCTTTTTTATTTTTTTTTAAAATTTTTTTTATAAACGAAACTAACTTTATTTATAGTAGTTATTTTTTTATTTTCCAGAGCAGCATTAATATCAACTTTAGAAAGAGTCTTATATGTATCATCAAATGCTTGATGAATAGTTGTTTTAATTTGATTATATGTGAGAAGATTGATATCTATAGATGACGTCAGATTATTCAATGAAATAGCTTTTCTTCGTCGTTTATGATGCTTCAGAAATTTCAATGAGTAGTCTGATTGATCTGACTCGCTTTTATTCTCTAATTTCGTTAAAATCGAAAGTTTCCCAGCTCGTTTAAGAAACTGATTGGGAGTAAAATTTAGTACTGATGAGAAAGCTCCTGACATTGATCGTGTAAGTCTAAAAGTAGCTTCGCATGGTTGCGAATTGTAATTCGATATCAATAGAGCAGAGTTCGGCATATGATGTCGATGTACTAGAAGACAAATTGCTAACAGACTATGAGCATTGAGCTCAATTGAAAAATGTGCAGGACTAGTGATAAATAAATCCTTTTTATTTTCAACATTACATCCTAACATATCTTTTTCATCAATTATATCCAACCAACTTTTCATATACGACACAAAAATACTTTATACCAACTATAATAGATCCGATTAATGATTGATGTATCATGCTCCACATATGCTAACACGATACAACGTAAAAGATGCAAATAAACTCGTGTAGCTTGAGAACTTTCGATGTCCTACAGAGTAGTGAATACATCATCGCTTGAAAGTTTGATACACGACGAAAAATTTTGTCGATATTTTGGTTCAATATCTGTTTTTACAAGTCCATGCGCAAGCTTTGATTTCTTTTCCTATTAGCATTGATGCTTTTTTGGAAAGAATACGATTACGAAGTTTAGTACACAAATCTATTGAATCTTGAAAACAGAAAAGCAGCTGACGAGTTCCCATGAAAAACCAGCTCGACCAACTTTTAGGTAGATCGATATCGAACCATCCTCACGATCACATATAGGCATATTGTTAATTCTTCCAAAAAAAACCTGTAGCAAGACGCATCGCAAGCAAGTATCTAGGATCACAATCAGTTGCGAAGGCAACTATCCGAACATTGGACTGTCTAGCATTTTTGAACATCCATATCCATCGATTGAGAACATCAATGGCTTTAAAATTATTGTTGATTCCATAAGCAGCTAGTAGAAGCGGCGATGAAGAATATGGATTAGAGGCTATGAGTGGCTTCACCATATGAACATTAAGATAATGCGTTTTATCTTTATTTTCGAAGCAACTTTTTAATTCATCAAATGAATCAGTTTGAAATTGACGAGAACAAGGAATACCATGTTTCAATGAGATCGGAAATCCACTGAACGTATTAGTTGTAGAATTATATGATACTCTTTTAATGACTGCAGTTGCATCTTCAGAACAAACGGCTATATCATAGCCAACTGATTTCTGATGATTTTGCAGTATATTATATCGAAAAATACCTTCTTCAATGCATGTGCCCGTCTTTCCAAGACTATCATCCAATGTGGATAAATCAGGAATGGCACCGAGTAGATTGAGTCGAACGAATTCATAGGCGTTTCGTCCATCGAAGATGTGCAATGATTGAGCAAAGAGTTGCACATGTTCGCTATAACGATAATTATTGTTATTTTTTGAAAGATTGCTGAAAATATTTTCAATAAAAACTAGAAGAAAAGAATGACTGTTTTTTGTGTCATCATTTTCACCGAAGTGAAACGATTTTATCAATTTTTTAAAAAAAGAAAAAAATGCATCATTTAAATTAGCTGTAGTTTCCTGATTACAATTTTGATTGTTTGTGGCATGTAAGGCACGCATGAAACGATCGAAATCTAAACGTAAACCAGGTTTTAACATAATAGTACCATCGCCAAGATGAAGACACGCTCGTTGCGTTATTTCTTCTAACTCTTTATATTTTTTTATCGAAAAACAAAAGTACGTCATTTTCAATCAAAAGTAATTTATAAACGTTATTGATTGAAAGTACTTTCATCAATTCTTTAAAACTTTCTCACATGTTTGAGTAACCAGCTCAAAAAATTTCTCACCCTCAAGTGTGAGAACATCAGCAGGTAATACAAGTTGTTGAAATTTTTCGAACATTTCATACACTGGTTCACCTTAAGTCAGTGAAACAATATGATGATCGCTGCTTTATTTGTAATAGAAACGTGTTTCTTCTACGGCGGATTATAGAATGGTAGCGAATATGTGAAATGTCATCATATATATTTTTATGTGAGAGAGAAAAGGGAGAGAGAACTTTCTCGTCGTGCGCGAAAAGAGAAAGAAAAATTAGTTCGAACAGATTGAAATATATTGTTTGAATTTTAAAGGAACGTTTTTTCTCGTGTTAAGTGTTCAACCGTTGTAAGTTCGCTAACTTAGTAAATGTGATCAGATAAAGAATGTGATGCAAGGAAATGACTGAGCGAAACTAAATAAGAATACGTTAGTATATCAAGAACTTGTGATAGCTGACCATATGTGCGATATATATCATCATGTTAGTAGTAATGCTACAATTTCTATAGCTTATTGAAATATTCTATAATTCACTAGAATTAGCGATCATATTTTATCATATCCGAATTAGAATTAGTTGACTGAATGAGAAAATCAAAGATATTTACAGTAGCTGAACCTTCTATTCGAACTAATTTTATTTAAAAACAAGTATTTACATCATCGAATAAAATACATAATCATAATTGACATATAAAATAGTACAAAAAGTAATTATCCTACAATAACGATTAACTTACTTTAACAAAAATGTACTAAGACGAATTTCATGAAATTTTTAGAGCCTAATACGTTTCTTTTTAGCAACTTGTTCTATATTGTGCGTCCTTTTCAACGACTTCACTGTACCAACACTATGACCAATAGTAATACTGGATGTCGAGCATTGTGTCAGTTCATTGATCGATACAGCTTGCGATGTTGTATCATCTGTTAATTCATATTCATCTAGGCTATTAGGTTCATCAGCATCGTTGGGTGTAATCTTTTTCTTTTTCATCATAATACAATTTTCCGACCTAATGTGCTTGTAAAAATTCCTTAATGAAAAGTTATAGCGCACTCGTGTTAACTGAACTTTCACACCGCACGAACAACATATAGATGCTTCTGAACTGGACCCATTAGACACGATGGCAAGCTGAAAATCTTGATTTTCAATTAATTTGCTATTAGATATATTCATTGCATGACAGTTTTTTGAATACATTCATTCAACATATTGATGATTGAATCATGATGATTTAATTCGTTTGTGCAATCTAAATTATAATATTTTATGCAAATATAGAAATTTAATTACAGGGTGTAACATAATTATAAGCCCCCCTATACTGCATGCAGAAAAAATAGGTTCCTACTTTACAAGTGAGCCTAGCTATTGATTTGATACGTTCATTCCACACATACATATACATGATATATTAAGATGCGATTACTGCTTTTTCTCTTCTTTTCGACATGTGTAAAAATGGTTGGAAAGAAAAACATGCTGTAACATAATTATAAGGCCCCTTTCATTATTTATCTAGTTGTTTATTTTCTTCTGCATATTTTTGTTTAACAAACACAAAGCTTAATAACAACAGGCATAACCTTTATTATTGATAACTTGACGAAGTCTGATGGGCATGGATTGAAAAAGTTTTCTTGTCACATCTTTCGAAATTTCTGCCCAAACGGTCTTAAGTGCTTCTTCAAGCTGTGCCATGTTGCTAATACTGTATTTCAACAATTTTTGATCGACTATAGACCATATATTTTCTATTATGTTCAGGTCGGGGCTCGGAGCTGGCCATGGAATCAGTTTAATATGTTTTTTCTTGAAATATTTGGAGGTTTTAGCTGACGTATGGGGACGAGCGTTATCTTGTTGATGCAAAAAATTTTCGATTGTTCCGATGAAAATTTTTCAAACGCGTTGGGTAAATTGTTCTCGAGTATCTCTATATATTTATCCGAGTTTAAGCGCCCATTGAAGAAAACTAACGGCCCCAAGTCATTGTACGTAATATAAGACCAAATACCCAAACCACCACCTCGATGTACCCTTGGTTGAAATCGTTCATGACGCTTTAGATCATTCCGAAATCTACGTATATAGATTCTGTTGTTCCGATTTACTATTTCAAAATTCGCTTCATCGGAAAATATAACGTTAGACCAATCGGTTTCGGTCCAGTTCAAATGCTTATA